GAGTTCATTGAAAGGGAGATGGAACTTTTGCCCGCGAATCGAGACGTATTGTAGAATGGCAGACACATGTTTTCCCAGTGCACAAAATGCCTCTTGTGCGCGTGCATCAAATTGAAGAATCAAATAGGGAGAAACAGAGGGGGTTCTTTGTCCGTCGCAGACTGAAAACACTTTCCGTCGCCGCACTTCGAGCGAACAACTTAATTTGATACTGTCGGTATTGCTACTGTATATTTCTCTTCCTTTTCTGTTCCACTCACGAGAGAATAATAAAGACCGAAAAGTTTGATAATATTAATGACAAATACGAGATGAATTTAACGCATAATGATCAAGAAAGTAAGGATAAGCCGTCGATTATAAATTTGGAAATATATAGACGATAAGAAATATTCCAGATGACACACAAAAGCCCGCCTAAATATTCTCGTGATTGAAACGTGACTTTACTACGAGCCATCACGAGATGCCGGCTTTCAAAATCTGTCACACGAGGTAACACATGCAGAACGGTATATAAAATCTCGGAATAGACGAATTTATGACAAAAATATAGCATGCAATGTGCACATGGATGCGTGATGTACAATTAAAACTTCGTGAATACGAAAAAGAAAAAGAAGAAAGTAGAGAAGAAGAAAGATGGGAATGAGAGACACCGTTACCGACGGAGCGTATCGTGTCTCGCACGTCATGGGCACGAGCCAGTACAATATCATTTCGCGAAACACGAGACGGGCGAAAACGATCTTACGATGTTTTTCACGGGGGTAGGCCGGCTAAGCGAAGAAGAAAGGCACGTATGGTTTTGGTACACCCGATATAATGTAACACACACCGATAGCAGAGCACCGTGCGGTGTAAGTCGTAACGGCGACACGAAGAAAGCGCAATGGCCGACCGCTGCACCTCTGCTGGTAGCTTCGATCCTTCCTGGCCACGAGGACTTCGTACTACACACTTGATCGTTCAGGGATCGACACGCGCGCACGATACGCCTTCTCCGAGTCCCTGAGACCGTTAAGATCCGTGGATGTTTTTTTTCCGTTTCACGAACGCAGCCAGGGACGGTTCGTACTGTCCGATCGTATGAACCCGCTGCCACTCGCACCAGACCGCCACGCACCGTCCCGTCCGCTGGATAAAAACCGACTGACTGGCATGCTCCTTCTCGAACCGCGATGCACCGCCACGGATGAGAAGGTTAGGTGGAGGGGACATGTTGGGACACCGAGGACGACGCCTCCACCCGGCGGAGGTGTGACAGAGACGCAGATAGACGCGCGGACGACTCCGATTGGGCGTGGTAGAGTCCCTAGGCTCGTCTTCGGATACCGACTGCGGGTGCGATCCTCGCGGACGCCATATTGATTTAACCGCTCGCGCGGCAATTTTGAAACACGTGTTTCATTAATTTCAAATTTTCGTATTTGATACTTTGTAAAACGAAAACCTTAATCAAAATCATTATAAATAATACGATATATACTACTAATCAATCAAGAATTATTTAGCGATGTTATACAATAATAATAACAGAAATAAAAATTGTATTTATCATTGCAGATGCTGGTACTGGTCGGTAAAGCGATTTCGCGCGAAAACCAACGAGTCATTACGGCGCTACTCTTGTCTTTATGATCTTTTAAAATCCGATTGCTCTGTGAACGCAACCGAGATCGAGACGCGATTCGAAAAAGAAATAACAAAGATGATCGAATCATAATATGTTGGCGTAATGCATATGTCGGCTTTCCGTTGAAATCTCCAAGCTGCGATGACGCGGCGTGTATTACCGGGCGAGAAAGATGCTTGGTATTTTTCACGCCTTTACGGACCGACTCTAATTTCGATCCTTTCTTTCGCCCTCGAAAATTACCCCCTTGGCAGGCCGACGGAAAAAAGAGAAAGAAACTAAATAAAACGAGCAATCCGACCAGACGACGCTTGCAACAATGCATCTGGAGTATCAATCACGTATGTCATTAATGGTTGCGGTTGCGGTTACAAGGCATCGAGAACTATAATTCAGACGGGTCGGTGTACCCGTGATACAGCGCATTACGTGGCGAAACGCGATTTACGATGTCCATTGTCGCCGACGATACAAAAAGGAAAAAAAAAAACCGTTTCATTTTTGCACGAACCTGTCGGTCTTCATTCTGCTGCAATTTTTGTAATTTATCATCGTGATAAGAAAATCTCTGTCCGCTATACATCCTTCCATGCAAGTAAAAAGGGAAATGGAATTCGAAGAGAGATTTTTACCAAATTCTTGAAGATGATCATGGCACATATTCGGTGGTGTCGAACTCCACCAATTATTTCCTAAATCTATCTTACGCAACTTTACCTTACACGAATTCAGCCCTGGTTACTTCGACATCGATCGAATTCCTTCGTATTTCGCGTAAAAGTACGAAAGTAAAAAATGAAATCGTTCAAGATAATAAAAGATAACAAATAATAATTGCGATCAATTTTAAAATCTTGTTTAATTTCGACGAAAGGTAAATCATCATTTTTTACTCAATTTTTATAAAGGAAACCGTGAAACGGATTGATTAGACCGTGATAGTTTCGCCAAATTGCCAAAGTTGTTAATTAATCAGTTGATCAGTGGAAATTTCTCAAGTGGGAAATTCCCCTCGCTGAAAATATCGTGAAGTGTTGAACTTTCGGGGGGGGGATATCGTGGAAATTTTGGCCCAAGCCAGCGAATTAAGTCCCTCTTCTGCGCCTTTGGCGGATGGGCGGCTCATATCGGAAGTATGTCAAGAATTTAGGCCTGGGCCATTTTCACTAATAGCTCGCGATAATTGCTCGTTCGTGTTACGCGCCACGTAAATGAACCGTGTCAAAAGCTGCCTGTTACTCGAATTATACGATTCTTTCTCTCTCTCTCTCT